GAGAGAGAGAGAGAGAGAGAGAGAGAGATGAAATAGTAAGAGTTGGTGGCCATCATACGTTGACAAAAAATAAAAATGCACCTTTTTATGAATGAGCCCTTTAATAACTATATTTCTCAAGAAACAAACAGCTTCATGAACAGAGTGTGAACAGAGTTGCATTTTATACAATTTATTAAAGCCTATGATAACAATTACATGTCTGTGTATATTTATATGCAACTTGGTTACAATGACAATGTTGTTTCAACAACATATCTTATATTTTAGCAGCCATTCGACAACATAACTAGTTGTTTCATAATGTCCGTAGCGCCGCTGAACGCACCCCCAGTAACCAAGGCAATGACGCTATTCTCCGTTACCAAGGCATTCTCAAGGCAAACACTAGCTGATAGCTATGCTAGCCAACCAGATAATCTTATAGCTATGATATAACCTCCGTGTAGCCTCTTCACCGAGCTGAACTAAACTCACAAATAGTTTACTAAAACCCTCGACTCCAGCATATTACCATTAGCTTCTTGTCTGTTCGCTGCGTGGCCTAAATTAGAGACTGAAACACCCTTTTTTGCCCCCTTTTGGATCATCTCAGGCTACAATCTAGCTTAGTAACGTTGACGTTAGCTGCACAGCCACCATGGTAAGTAGCTACGATCATCTGCTGTTTTTTCTTTGGTAGCCAGGCCACCTGTTTGCTTTCAGAAGTTAGCATGCTAATCATCTCACTCAGTTTCATATAAAGACAAGAAGGCAGATAGCAGTCATCCCCACATATAGCACCTTGTTTGTGCAAGCTCATGTGAATAGGCCGTCACACATTAGCAGGGGGAAATCCTCTTCAAGTTAGCTCATAAGCTAGTCGTGGTTTCCATTACAGCCTCTCTCTCTCTGTCCATCTTTATCGTTACTCGTTTCTCTCTTCTTGTCTCCATGTAGGCTGAATTTGGGTTTAATGAACACCATCAGAATGAAGTCGTCAATTACATGCGATTTGCACGTTCAAAGATGGTCCTGAGACTTAAGACCATTGACTCATGCTTTGAAGAACTCAAAGATAGCAGGTGACTGGTCATACTTACGTTTTTGTTATTCTTTTGTCTGTGAATTCAACTTTTACTCACTTACCTCGAGACTCATATTCAATAGAGGGTGAATATATCATACAATGATGAAGGGCTTTTCGGTTGAGATGGAGCTGTAATGTTCATGCATGTATTCTTCTCTCTGAAGGCTGGTGGAGGAAACCTTCACAGTGGACGAGGTGAAGGAGATGCTGGACGGGCTGCAGGCGGTGGTGCGTGGGGAGGTGGAGATGGAGCTCATCAACACAGCTCACACCAACGTGCTGCTGCTCAGGCAGCTCTTCTCACAGGCTGAGAAGTTTTACCTTCGACTGCAGAGCGATATCTCGGAGCTGGAGAACAGGTGAGCAGCGAGGAAGGAAGCAGATTCAGGCGTTCCTGCTAATTGTTAGGTTAATACACCTAAAAACACAAAGCAAACATTTGAAACACACAAAAGGTGACCTGGTCAGGTTTGCTGCCACATGAGTACATCACGTTCTAATTCAGATATTATACAGCGCCTCTTTATATTACATTTGTATTTAGTGTGCACAAATATATATATCTTGTTGCACCTGTGTGCAAAAAAAACATGAAATAAGCTGTAAAAACATTTCCAAATAAAATGATTTAAAATTATGTGATGTGAGTTCAAGGTCAAACAGAGTGCCACACCAAAGTAAGAAGTGCGCTAGGCCTCTAAACACACGATACCCCTTCATGTTCATGAGAATAACTCCTCCACATTGTGCCACTTCCTCCTCAGGGCTGTTTAGGTTTAGATCTCGTGCATGTCACAGTATGTATGCAAGGCAACAAGGTCATTGCCAAGCCACATAGGCAATGACAATCTAACCCTTTTTTCCATTACAATGGTTTCCTATTTGCAGTGACGTTGATTTAGCTCGAAAACCACAACTGCTGCCACATTGTTGTTTACATTTTAATGTCAGTTCACCCAAATTACAAAAATATCATACTTTGAGACTTCATACTAATAGAATAGAGGTGAGTAGAGTGGTGAATATTGATGAAACCCAAAAACTGAATTTAAAGAACAGAACAGCAATGTAACACCCCACAATGTATCATCTTGAGAAACAAGGACGTTGTTTGCATTTCTCAAATGAAATATTTGTTTTCGCCTCACAAAAAAATGTCTTTTATAGTTTGAGTGACATAACTCTTTAATCCTTAAACAAAATTTAATTTGCAATTTCAATATTACATATTTTTACACATTTACAATCATTTAAAAAAATGAAATTTCAATAAAGTACATTTTTATTAGCTGGTGAAATGGTGAAGTCGTACAAAGTTTTGGGGCCACATGTGATGAAACAGAATTACCTAAAAGGACTTTCTTGCTGTTGTTACCAAGCAAGGGGGCCAAGAGTGCCTCTTCATATTACAAGCCACCACATGCACGCATGTACATGTGAAACCAGTAATAAAGATAAATCACATTTGAACTGTTGTCAGAGGGTACATTGCACTCTTGGCATTTTGGTAAAGCATGTATTAAGGCTTTTTTGGCACAAATATAGCCAGTGTTTAAGAGCATAGAGGTTGTGATGTAGATGAAAAATGTCATAAAATGTGCACTTTGCAGCTAAATGTTCTTCACACGTTATGAACTAATACCTTTGGCCGGTATGATCATTGTAAAGCTCTTTGTTTGAATGTACTTCTATGATATTCAGGTGAACTTCACGCAACTTCTGACCTCCGTAACCTTTCACCTTGTTAAAACACTCAACTTGTTTTGGAAACGTTCTTTTGTTTGTAAGATGCACGTAGTGGGTGGATAAAGAAGCCCTAAAGTGTGTGTTTTTTCTCTCACAGGGCTCAGCCCTACGTGACTGACACGGCGTACAAAGCAAGGAATACGCCCCATGTCACAATCTACGTGTGTTTGGCTGCTTTTTAAAAACCACATATAAGCTTTCCAGAGAGCACTTCTGTTCACCACAAGCATAACGCTTATATCATAAGTGCTAAACCGCCATCTAGAAAAAGGGCTGTTTACTCCTTGCCAAAGATACATAACTGCCAAATAGCGTTTTTTATTTTTGTAACGTACAAAAAAAAACATTGTGGTGGCAAGCTGACAGTTGTGTGAGGAGATAATCACATCGTTCATATTATCAGATCAGTTCAAATCTGTGGCTCACAAAAATATTGACAATATTACCTTTACATACTTTGTATTTTATAGACAAATAGTTCAAGCTTTTCGTAACTCCTTGCCTGTAATTTGATTAATTATTTTGCTTTTTTACCCATATAGGGAGCTGTTGGAACAAGTGGCTGAATTTGAGAAGACTGACTTTAAAACCACTAATAAGGTGAGTGTACTGTAGAGCTTTACACGGCACAGTCAATAGTCATTAATCATGTGTTCAAAGGATATTTACACCCACATGGAATTCACTTACATGTCGGGCCCCCTGCCCGTTCACGAGTAGCCGTGCGGTTAAGAAGTCACACTTCACTGAGGTTGGCGTGTGGTTTCGCAACGCACTGTTAAAGGAAAACAAATCAACTTTGTAATACTATATGCTGCTCTTTCATGGGTTTGACTATTCACACCGTCTCAAAAGGTACACACTAGTCATCTTCACAATTACAATCATATAAAAGCTTTATTTTTACCATTACATCTTACATACAGTAATATGACGGTATAAACAACATGTTTTAAGACTGTTCTGTCATTGTTTCAGTTGTAAAGTGTTTCCTTTATTCCCAGATAAACCAGGAAACAAGCAAAGTCAAGCTAGCACCGCTGAATGAAGTTGGGGTGTCTGAACTTCTTAACAAGGTAAAGAAATACATTACATGAGTTACATATTGAGTAATTGTTGTAAAAGTTATATTTATACACTCCTTCACATCAATCTTAAATATTTTTTTCCAGGAGATAGTGAGACTACAGGAGGAAAATGACAAACTGAAAGCCAGGATGCGGACTTTAGAATCACAGGTATAACAATAAGCCGTGCATTTCTAAACACAGCCACTTTTCTTCTGATTCGTGCACCAGTTTACGTTGTAAACGCTCTGCTCTGATTCATTTTCTGAGGCAATGAGTGCTCTGGATGAGAGAACCAAAGCAGAGAGAGCCCTGAAAGACGTTCAGACGGTGCATGGTGACCAGCAGGTACTGTTTGGAGTTTGGCGTGGCAAAGTAGCGTCATCTTCATTTTGACTTTTTAAGTTTGCTCCCCATTCTACTACTTTTTTCTTAATTTTGTTGCATCTGAACATTTGCTGTCATTTGGTTTCACCTGCTAACTTGGACCTCGAATGGTACGTACCCAGCTGACCAAAGTGTTGCTTTGGTCTCTCCCTGTGAATAGGATTATGGTGTAGATTCTGTAGTAACAGCAATGATTGCCGTTCATTCCTTCTGAACTTCTACGCTGTTTCTTTTTTCCTTCAAGCTGGCTGCTCAATCCCAGGAGATCAGCAGTCTCGAGGGCACGGTGGCGGCTCTGAGGGGTGACTATGAAAGGTCTCTTAGCGCCAACTCGGCCTCCCAGAAGGGTCTGCAGGAGAACCTGATCTCTGCCAAACATGATCTTCTGCGAGTGCAGGAGCAGCTGTCCTTGGCAGAGAAGGTGGGTCACTGTAGGTTTTACCTGCAACGGAGAGTAACCAGCATCTGAAGTTAACACACGTTATACTGTCAATCAATGTTTGTAGAAACAGCTGGTATTGGTGCGTTCAGCTTCTGTTGCAGGTACTTTCATGTCTTTATGTATGTGTGTGGTGTGCAGGAGTTGGACAAGAAGTTCCAGCAAACTGCGGCCTACCGCAACATGAAGGAGATCCTGACCAAGAAAAATGAGCAGATCAAAGACATTAGAAAACGATTGCAGAGGTGAGCTTTAAGTGTAAAACATCGCTGGTCCCTCCAGAAGAGGAATGTTTTGTAAAACTAGCAGACACACCGGTATGGCCCTTCAAGTTCAGCCACTTTTGTGCTTGAAAAATTGGCTTTCATACAGAGATATTTGTCTAATTTCAGGTTTTTGACGCTGTTGTTGCTCGTCTGTTTCAGATACGAGCCCAATGAATGAGTTCTACCCAAGACAACAGGTGTCCAGAGGGTTAGACAGGAACGAGAAACCACCGGTTCCACTGCTGCAAGACAAGAGAGACAGAAAACAGCACTTCTCCGAGGAATTGTTTATTCATGCTTTATCTGGCATCTTCAGTAATTATCGGCTTTAGTAAAGAGTGCGAGCAGAGCGCGGGGGGGGGGGGGGTCGTCGGTACGCACGGCTGAGCACACTGATGAAGTAGTGACAAACGATAGCCTTCTCCAGCTGTGCTTTTTTTTTTCTACGTCCCAGTTGTGGAGCTGACTTACTGTAGCTAGCAGACTTCCCTCAGTGCTCTATGCAATTACTATCACGTCCCCGTTTAAAGAGGCCTTGTGCATTTGCTGAACTGGACAGATACGCACTGTCTGCCTGAAGCATTGCAGTCGTATCTATCAGATGGTTATAGGTGATATTTAGCTTTCTAGCACCGGGTAGTTGATCGTTGATATTTTGCTGATCAGTCTTAATTTTAGCAGTTGAGTTAGACCCAAGCTGGTGTGTTTATTAATAGTGAACAGCTTCAAAGTAATGTTTACCGACCTTCTGAGGTCAACCCCGCTTTAATTTGTTTCCCGAAAAATTGTATTGCATTTCACACAAAGAATATTTCCAATGATGTGACATTCTGTGAAAGTCTGATCATCGAAAATATACCAAAACTTCTCGCATTTAGTTTTTTCTGCTCTTGCTTTATTGAATGACGTTGATGGTGATCTGGAATGACTTCCCTACACAAAGGGCATAGAGTATTTTTGTCTGGAATCTTTAACTGTGTACTTTTCGTATTGCTGTGGGTGATGGAGTGTAAGAGAAAAAAAAAAGAATATATACATGATGTTCATGAAGTAATGCTCTTGTAGAGTATGATACATCTACCTTATAATACACTAGATGTTTGTATCGTGCAAAGTATGGGGTAATAAAAGCTGTTGACAAATAAACGTGTGGTCATGCTTAGTAATTGTTTTTTCACTTTAACTTTAAGTTGTATTTAATCATATAAACACCAAGTACATTCACTGAAGACTGAAGCTTTCAGACCTAGGATGTTATTCTAATATGTTCTGGCTATGAAAATATCAGATCATAAATATGCCCTGTGAAAAACATGCCCAGGTTGTCTCTCTTCTCTGAACCACTGCATGCTGGGACACTGGCAATAAACAATAAACAAACAACAAAACGTTTGAAGAATAAATAGGACATAATGGATTGATTGTCTAGACTGACAACAAGGGGGCGCCAGACTGCAAAAATGCACATAATCTTAAAAGCCTCTCTGCATAAAGCATGACAAGCTGTGTACATGGGGATGTGTGATCTTAGTGGCTAAATGTGGCCTGAATTCAGAAGAAGATTACGATGAGCTCCAGGATGCCCCTGATACCTCGATCAGCATGATAAAGGTGGATGCAGACAGTGGGGAGTGCAGTATGAACGGTGACTTCAGCAACACAGAGAAAGACATTTGTAAAAGACGGGAGATATCTTTAATGGAGTTTTTTTCTCCTTTTTATTGGATTATATTAGGAGAGAGAGAGAGAGAGAGAAAATAAAATAAGACAAAAAACCCTCCCCCTCTTGAACCGATTCAACATCAAGAAACCACAGAGGGCCACACGCGATTGTGAAATACATCCTATCAAAACTCTAAATTAGCCAACCGTTTTATCAACTGCACTTGTTAGTGTAATTCTACACATCAGTTACTTCATCTGCTTCCTTAGCTGTTTGAAGTGCCAAGAGAAAGAGCTCATTGTTTTTGCATTGGTTGTGTTAACCAGAGTGGATAGAGATAGTGGTCACCAGCCCCCCCCCCCCCCAGACCCCCCTGTTGTTTTCAGTGAAACTCTTCAAGCCACAGTCTGTCCTGAGTTAAACTTGTGTTGGTCTTGCATCATGTGCAGGAGTTGTATGCGTGGTGTAAAAAGGGGTGGCGGTGAAAGAAAACACATGTGGTAGGTATACAACACTAATGACAATATTCTTTAAAAAACCTGTTTCCTCTGCTGTCAAAACATAAAAGATGAATGCATGAAAAGATGTAGAATTTCTTATCAACCTGTTTATTGCATTTGTGTGCTTGTACGTGTGAATTTACATTTGCGTGCGTGCATCTATTTTTCTATTAGTAGCATCAAAAGGAGAGACCGTCATGGGAAAGTTGCTCATAATTTCAGATACGGATGCAAATGCTGAACAGTTGTCTATCAGTGCATGAAATAAATCACAGCGAGCAGGTACACAGGAAGCGGTGACTTGTGTCTCTTAGTGCCGAACTCAATCTGTCGCGCTGCTGACAGCTGTGACAGTGACAATAATTTCCCACAATATGGGCCAACTGTTAATACATGTGAGAGCGGTGTACCCATTCACTGCAGCTTCCTGCTCAACGACAAGGCATCAAAGGGCTTTTCTCAGTTTCACTAACGAAACAAAAGCTTCTGTTTAGTTTTTCTCCAGAATCACCGAGTAAACTTTTTGCTTGAGGAGAAATAGTTTCTGAATTTAAGGTGATGTCCAGAGTGATGTATGGTGTCAAAAAACAATGGTGGTGTGGTAGCTTTAACCTTTCGGTTCTTCATTAGAAATCCATATTGTGTGGCCAAAAAGCCGCTGTCTTCTTGGGTTTGAATATTTCCCTAAATATCAGTATCACAGAGCTTTATAAAGAAAGCAGAGACAGACTGTACAGTATATTGTGTGTTCACTTCCTTAAAGTGAGACCATGTACGTTTTGAAAAAAATACCCCTTACAAATGTGACGTTGAATTCTTAGGTAATACTAGAAAAGCGCACTCTGTAAAGTACAGATTCCCGAACACTGCTTTAATGTTTCATTGAATAAACACAAACCATAATTGTTTTACTAAATCTAGAGAGGATCAGTTCCTAATCCCGAGCAGAAACAGGTTTCCAAACTGAAGCATTTGTTGATCACTTGCGGCTCCTACTGGTTGGTTAAGTGGAGTGAGGAGTCAGCAGTCAATATCGGTATAAAACGGTCAATAAAACATGTTTTTCAAAAATTGTGAATCCCCACAACAGCAAGAAGTCCTGGAGCATACAGTCATATATGTGCACAACAAATATCAGGCTGATGGATCCAGCGGCAAGATTAGCTGTTGACAGACAGTCAGATACACGTACACACACGACCTAACGCATGATCCCCTCATGGTTTACGCCTGGTGGAGATAATAAAATGTACCCTTGTGGTGTCTAAAGTTTGCAAACTTAAAATACATTTAGCTGAATAACATACTTGATGCCTCTTCTCTACATGTGCAGTTGTTACACTATGTCTAACCATTTACCACTGTTGTGTAATTGTAAATTGGGTTCACCGTGCCATGCAAAGTTAGAGTCTCCAGTGACCCCGGTACCAGTAGAGTACCATTTATACCTCTATATTTTCAAAAGGAGAAGTTCTGCGACAAGTATTCCAAGGTCAAGGATAAACTGCAAAGAACACATAGATATAATATTTGTGGTTTATTTTCCCCACAGATATTCTGTGATTGCCTCCATCTCTGTGACTCACCCACTGGCTCCTCAGCTGTACCTTCTGACCACAAGGCCGTGGCTATATCCACATGTGTTGTGACAGAGGCCCGTGCCAGTCAGGAGGCATGTTATTAAGGCTATAAAAGGTTATGCGAGTTCTCAGCTACCAGGAGCTCAATATCTTTGATAATCTAAGTGTGCAACTTGCAAATAATTTGGCACAGATCAGATTAACAGATATCAGATATTTCAGTCACCTCTGAGAATTGTTGCTCAATGTTTTGTGTTGTTGATCGCTACTTTTCCATGAAATACCATATCTACAGCATACCGTATACATTGAGTTCAGCAAATGACTCAACACTCTGAAGCTGGCTTCTGTATCATTTTATTTCTATGATGCTATGATGCAGAACTGCGTGTGATTAGCATGTGATACCTGATGAAAAACTGCTGAATGAGTTGTGCGGGCTGCTGTTTGTGGGCACATGAAGATACAACTGGAGAGGTGTCATCATTTTCAACATCATTCATGACCCAGTATCTCAAATAAGGACTGTACTATATGATCAGTTTGTGAGTGTCGTACCGATTTCAGGTTTGAGTCAGCATATACTCACCTCAGAGACATCAGTTCAGGCAGAGCACGTCGAGAAAACCTCTCACATTCTATGAAACCAAAAACAGGGAACTTATTATCTGTGAAACTTATTGACATGCCTTTTTAAAAAGAGATGACGCAATAGCTGAAAATGCAACATACAGACTGCTGCACTAATTAGACGGAAGGTTTTCCCCTTTTGTCACCCTGCACTGCAACCTGTCAAATAGCTAAAACCATACAGCTTGCATCGTCCCATACTGGTGACAAATTCATGGCTTCTCAAATTTTTCTCACCTGTGGAACTAATTTAGGCCGAAAATGTTCACTACCCCAGCATTTAGAGAACTGTCAGGTCATACGAATTGACTGAAAACATGTACGTATATCAGGAGGCATGTCAAAATTAAAGTTATATTATGTAGAATATGACAACAGTAGAGGTTGATCTGATGAAGAATTGCCCCTTTTTCTGTCATTGTGACTCTGTAACAGAGGTAATAAAGGCTTGTATTATTCACACGTGACCGTGAGATCATAAGTGCTTAGTCAAATCCAATTGTTGACACAATTTTTCTCTCCATATATAAAAAGTTATACCAAAGACAGACCATGAAATATCTCAGTGAAAATAAGCAGTTCAAATCAGTTCCCAACAATAACTGTCTCTTTGCAAAGATTAAAATGCCTTATTGTGTTTCTATAATCTTCAACTTGGGACCTGAAGCTGCATCGTCATTTGTTTCTGCAAGGGAACGAAGTTGCAATTGTACTGTATTGTCCCACGCTGTGTTTTATGTGCTCACAGATCAGAACAATGAGGTCAATTAGCTGCGCTTCTGCAGTTAGCGATGCCCTGTGAGTGAAACCTCTCAGTCTACCACTTTCTTCAAACAGCTTGTTCCCAGAAGGAAAACGCTCATCTGATCATGACACAGCTGTTTCCCTCTGCCTCACTGTGAGCAAAACTGAGAAACGCAACCGGCATTTGGTAAAAATCTGAAGAGCTGATGGCGCCCACGCTCCGCATCTCCATCTTCACAATATGCTAAAAGGTATATCAGGCCAGGAAGTGAAACAGAGAAGATATCACCACACTCCAGTCCTTCACAAGGGCCAAAGCAGCCCCCCAAGAGAAACAGACACTCACAGGAAACAACCAGAAAAGTGATTTAAGCTCTTCTCTTGACTAATACAGACTTTAAAACCATGTTATCACTTTGTAAAGTCAGCTTTGTTTGGGCTTCAGGTTATGCAGTTGGTATGACGGGGACTTTCTACCTTGCCATGTTTTGAAGTGTATTCAGCAATGTGACTACTTGTTATGATATTAACTTCCCTTGGCCTTTACTCTTTCAACACCAATGAACTTTGAATTTCCCTATCTTCACACAAAGTTCTTCTTTTTTGAAAACATGTCACATGAATGCAATTGTAACTTGGCAGCAATAGACACGTGATAATAGGCTATTGTATGTGTTGGTTTTGCAGTGCCTATATGCTACTGTATGAACCGGACTTTAATTTGACTTCGACGGAACAAACTCAAATTAATTTAACTATGCCAGGTTAAAGGCATAGTTTGACATTTTGGGAAATGGTTCCAGATTCATATTTACTCTGCAGACAGAGGATCGATCTTTTCATCCAACTCTCAGCAAGACAGAAAATAATTTACCAAAAAGTCGATTTGTTCCTTTAAATTAACTTTAACAAGTTGGGCACTTGATCTCATGATAAAAGGGGATGTTGTTTCATGACCGCTGACTTCAAATAGAAATTACCCAGAAAATTGAAACGTCTCAAAAAGACTTCCCTCACACCGTTGACGCGTCTATTCAGTAAGACATTTCAAAGGAAAGATAACGTTGCTTGGACAGTCGTTTTAGGCCACACTGTCTGAGCTGGAAGTGCTATGTAACTATGGCGCTGACAACATCTCAACATTGACTACCTCCTCCAGATGTGATCTTTAATCACACCTCATGGTTTTCAGTTTCATGCATCACTCATCTGTGGTGTTAAGTGCTCCACCTGTGTACACACAGTGTGTCAAAAACAGGCTTTGACTTGATAAAACTTAAAATCGGCTGTGGAAGGAATGTGGGTGTATTGTTTTGGTTCTAGTTTGATGGACATGGCTCACTGGGTTGAGTCTAAAAGTCACAGCTTCCCCATGAAAATCTGGCACAATGTTCAAAGATCGTATTTGGAAACAAGTTGCCTTTTAACTCAATGCATATTTTATATATAGCCGTGTTTAGGGTAAGAACTCTAGAGCACAAAGGGTCGTGTGTGGTTTTTTGTCTGCAGACGGAGAAGGAGATGGAGTGATATGATTCAGCACGTGATCCATGTGGTTAAAGGGAAACCATATAAGCAAGTGAAGATGTGTCTGTATGTCAAAGTTACCAGTTGTACTATCCAGACGAAAAAAACAGAACTGTGACTGAGAGGCTGCTCCCTTCGTCTCATCACTCAATGGGTAAGTTATTTGTCGCACTACTACACAACAGTAGAGGACGAAGAGAGCATTTTCCATTTAACCATTAATATTATATTTCATTTTTACAAGTGTGTTGTACTAATATCCTGCTGTTCTTTGTAGACAACATGGAAGAGACATTTACAGCTTATATGACCACAGGAACTGTTTCTATTGGAACTCATCATGGAACTGTAAGTATTAATTTGAGATAATTTTCTGTAGCCATGACACAACAATGAACCAGTGGTATAGTAGATTTTGGTGTCTGATTTGTTTTGACTGCTCACAAATAGAGAAACAAACTTGCATGTGTGTTTGTTTGTACTGTAGTATTTACAGTATGCTTTTAAAGAATACCATATGGTAAAGGTTAATCTTCAGGTTGCTGTGTGCTGTTTATTAAATATGATATATTAGATACGTTTTATTATCTATAAATCACATGCTCCAGGTACACACAGGGAGAAAAAAAAATACAAGGTGTTATGATTGATTGTAATAATTAAAAAGTATCTGCCATGTGAAAAGTCTTGGTAAGATTTCGTGAAATAAGATGGAATATTTAGGCCTTTCAAATTAAAAACAGATCTTGAAATTAGCTGGGGAAACTCATATTGAGCGATATTTCACTAGTATTAGGAAGAGCCATATCACAAGCCTATAATGCCAAAAAGTGTCAAGTGTTTTTTCAAGATGCACCATCTAAAAACAAGTCTTGTCTCACTGCAATGTTACTTGTTCGGTGATTGTGTCTCATATTAAGTGTTTTGAGATATTTTGACTAGTAATTAGGCAAAAATACTTGGTAAGATTGCGTTTTTGCAGTGCAGTAGATGTACAGTATCTACAGCACACATCTGTAGGATACTCAAATGCCACATTCACAGCCGCATCAGCGTCAAATGTTCCATTGTTTGAGAATACCTAAGTGTCAGCTTCACTCGCTGTTTATCTTTGCCCTAAATCTAAACTCGATGCTTCTGGGGTACCGAGTTCTGCTGCGCGCCCCTTTCTGGAGCCCCTCAAGATCGGTTACCCTCACCCTCCCTCCCCAGGCTTGGATAGGAGCAGGAAGTTGTGCAGTGGTGTTGTGGTTTCTCCTGCACAGACACAACACCTGCACTGAGAGCAATTTTTTTTGCACGCTCTGGTTGGCACGTACGTCACCGACCGCTTTTGATGTCATATCACTGTGTCCTCACTCACTAGAAGCATGTTATGTTGAGAACCCCAGACAGCAGTTTGTGAGTTGGGTAACAAGGACAGGAAATGAAAAGGGACAAAAAAAAGACAGTACTCTGATCTTTTACTTAAGTAAAAGTAGTCGAAATATTTACATTTCTATTTATTTTTAAATATATATACTGCCATGTAGCTTGTGGATTTCAGCAATAGTTATCTTTATCCATAATAATGTACTTTATTTGGTTATATTTTGTATTATTACTCAAAATCTGCAAAGTAACTAGTAACCAAAGGTATCAAATACATTTACTGGAGTAAAAAGTACAATATTTGCCTCTGAGATGTAGTGGAGTAGAAGTATAAAGTAGCAGAAAGTGGAAACACTCATGTAAAGTGCAAAGTACAGTACTTGAGTAAATGTAATTAGTTTAAAAAGAACTCTTTAATATCGAATCAGCTGATAAGTTTTTGTTTTCGATTGCAGGATGACTACTCAGACGACTACGGTTCAGACCCGACTGAAAACTCAGGCATGTGTGACAGAAGCTGGGTCAGGGATTTCCGTGGGCAGTACGAACCACCTCTCTTCTGGATCATCTTCCTCCTTGGCGCCGTGGGTAACCTGATGGTGGTTTGGATCTACACCACTGTGCGCAACCGTCTGAAAACCATGACCGACGTGTACCTGCTGAACCTGGCTGTGGCTGACCTCCTCTTCCTGTGCATGCTGCCCTTCTGGGCTGTCGATGCCATCAAGGGCTGGGACTTTGGCATCGTTCTCTGCAAAATGATGTCAGCGGTCTATAAAATCAACTTCTTCAGCAGCATGCTCCTGCTCACCTGCATCAGCGTGGACCGCTACATTGCTATTGTACAAGTCATCAAGGCCCAGAACCTGAAGAAAAAGAGGCTGTTCTACAGCAAACTTGCCTGCCTGGTTGTCTGGATTGTCTCCACTCTCCTGGCCCTCCCTGAGTTCATCTTCGCCCAGGTGAAGACGGACCGAAACGGGCAATCCCTCTGTACTCTGGTTTACTGGAACAACGCGTACAACCGCACGAAGATCCTGGTGCTGTCCCTGCAGATCTGCGTGGGCTTCTTCCTTCCTCTACTAGTTATGTTGTTTTGTTACTCAGTCATCATTCGCACTCTTCTGCAGGCCAAGAGCTTTGAAAAGCACAAGGCCCTACGCGTCATCTTTGCTGTGGTGTTTGTGTTTGTTCTCTCTCAGCTGCCTCACAATAGTCTGCTGATAATGGAGGCCATGCAGGCAGCTAATACTACTATCACCAATTGTGACATTATAACTCGGTCCGATGTAGCTGGACAGATCGCCAAGAGCCTGGCGTATACTCACGCCTGCCTGAACCCATTCCTGTACGTCTTCATAGGAGTGCGGTTCAGACAAGACCTCCTGAGGATTGTGAAGATGTGTGCTGGCTGTCCGGGCAAAGGAGGGCTCAGTAAATTACAGGCAGTTCCCAAACGTCCCTCTGTCATGTCAGACACCGATACTACCCCTGCCCTTTCCATATAAAAAGGCAGATTTTCCTAAAATCCTAAACCTGAGCCTAGTTCAACATGATCATATCTACTTTTCTTCATAAGCATTAATTGCTACTAACAGAGCAACGATAAAATGTACAACTTTGAAAGAAAAATACTCTTTGGAGTTTACACTCATATTCTGATGGTCACAATTACAATTGTTCTGGAGTCACTGTATAAACTGTATATTCGTGTAAATACATTTTTTTTAAGTGTTTGTATTCTTACATTCTTTTCATCATGTATTTGTCGTGTGCTGCTGTAACTGAATACAAAATAAATCAATTGTAATTTAGATTTTCACATAAAAAACATCAATTAAAAAATGACAAAAGCACGCTGCAGATTTCTTGATTGCTTTTCTGCACAAAAAAAAGGGGGGGAACTTTTAACAGTCGTTACAAGCAGATACTACAAAACGAAAGCGGTGGTAAGTGATGACATAGACAGTTCATATCTACTATACGTGGGAAAGTATTTGAGTACTTTCAGTGGGGGAACTTGAATGTGGCCTGTTCAATCCACAATGTTTTCGATCTGACTAGACGTCCTGATGTCGACAGTCTGTGCAGACACTGTTAACTGTTGAACCTTGTCTGGCTATGACTTGGCGGTTTCACAGTGGATGCCAACGGATGCCCATTCAAACTGGCATGAAAGAGGTTTCCCACAATCTCCTCACAACGGTTGTAGCACAGAGACAGACATGTGTCACTGCCTGAAAAAAAACTTTCCCTGTTCAGCCACAACTTTCCAAGTGACGGATTCCAGTTTCACCAACGTCAAAAAGAGGCAAACTGAATCCTTGGAGGCATTGTTTTTTTTAGCAAAAGGCACACAATCTACACGAAATTTAACGCACAAGTTAGCAGAAGTTATTACTTGTCTGACATGTGCCGGCGAACATCAAAGCCTAATGCAAGGACCCAAGATATCAGGAGAATAAACAATCATACCATTACATAGCACCAGTTAAACCTGCCTCGGTATAACCATAACAGCATCAGGGAGTTTCAACAAGGCAATGAATCCGCTAAAAGAAAAATAGATAAAGGAAAAGCTCATAATTAAATTAAAAGGCCAGTCACTAGCATTTATTGGATCTTTTTGTAGCTTTTTAGCATCTATTTGCAGAAATGGAATATAATATTACCTTAAAATGAGCTGTTTATATCTAGGGATGGAGCTGGTCCTCTTAACAGAGTCTGCTATGTTGCACAAACCAAACACTGGCTCTAGAGAGGGCCATTTGCATTTTCACATAGGCCACTGTAGATCCTCTGCTTGATTGGCACACGGGAGCAATATCAGTTGGTTGCAATCTGCAACCTCACCTCTAGATGCCGCCAAATCCTACACACTGGCCCTTTAAGAGAAAATGTTTAAGATTCCTAATTCCAATTAAAATCTGGCTTAACATTTTTGACAGCGTCACCCAGCCTATGGTGCTGTTGGTAGTAAACTCAGTCATCATAGCTACTCGTTAGGACAAACATCCAACAGAATCTTTACATGCAGAATTACATTTACACTGTCACAGAAAAACAAATGCATGTAGAGCAGAATTACAGTTACAGTTGATGCTTGGGCAACACTATTCTTGAAACTTTGAAACTTTCATTTTTATTTGTGTCCAGCGTTCCATGTCTCTCTGACGGGTGAGCTGTGGGCGATGAGCCGTGTCATATAATCACAGTTTCATGACACCCCCAAACAAAAGCGGCTGGCATCAATCTGATGAAAGTCTGACATTAGGCAATACAAAGCTTCAACGCTGAGATTTGAGGTTGGGATTATGGCTGGTTGTGTTATCTCCATGACATAAAAAAATAAAAAGCCTGTCCTGTCTTGTTATACCACAACAAAAACTTAAAGCATTTAACCCACCCAAAGCATTATGCTATGAAGCCCCCACGGACCTCGAGAGGCAATAGTGAGTATCAAATGATACTGCCTAATGTGTATTGACGCATATAAAGATGAGGGAAAAACACAGATGGAGGAAGACAAAAGAGAGGAACATCATAAAGTACATGACAGCTACAGTCTCACACATTTACTGTAAAAAAAACAAAACCCGGTGTTATTGTGGTCACTGAGGTTAGCACCAGACTACTGCAGCCTACCTGCTGAATTCAGGTGAGACCACAGACGCACGTTCTTTCATTTCCCTGCCTTGTACTGCCTCTTCATCCTCTCACGACAGGAAACCCTCAGTCAAGTCAATAACAACGTGCTGCTGTGTAAGTGCTGAGGCCTGGCAGTGAATGTCCGTGGGGACCCTGGCACATGTCTTGAATGTGTCTCAGTTGTTTCAATGTTGATGGCCACGTTACCGTCTAGCACACCTTTAGCATATTCTGAATACATTTGTGTATTCCAGTGTAATCTACAAAGCTGACTTTGATTCTTATGTGTAAACTTAATATAAGATGTATCCGTTTGAATCCACTGTGTGGTTCGCATCCCTCAGTTCATCTTGAGTCCAACCTCGTGACTTTTTAAAAAGGAGAAACTGCAGTGTTGTGCGTCTTACCCTGTTGCAAAATGCAATTTATCTTCTTGTTTCAAAACTAATGTTGACAGTAATCAGATTACAGTGGCCTGTTTAAAATGACACATGATAAAATGTGGTCAACCCTAAATGCTATTGCCTCACATTTGTATCTATTTTATTAGATTGCCTTCCATATCTATTTTGTCTGATGTATCTCATTGTCTATTACTGCAGAGAAAAGATGTATTGAATCCTTAATGTTCATTTATCAGGAAATAGTGATTTGTTGATTTGTGAAATTGTTGTTTAGGCTTGATGTCTTTTTTTCCTTTTCCTCAGTATTCAGTCTAGGTTGTATTTACCACAATATGGACTTAGAGAAACAGAATGACTCAACGATTAATCAATCACTTTTTAGGTTTCTGGTGACTTTTGCGTATGCACCTCCTGCATCACCGTCTGTATAAAAAGCATCAATCAGACTGCGTTAGAACACACAGCGTGAGCTTTCCTTTCATTAAACCCACCACACGGTGGCGTCGCTTGCACAGCATAGTGAGCCTGATGTGGTTTAGGATTCAGTGAGCCACCAGCAAACACACAGCTTGGAAATGAAAGTAACCCCATCTAGTGGCGGTCTTGAGGCCAAGTCTGGGGGGGGGGGGAAGCTTTGGACATCAAAGCTTCAAGTTCAAGAAGTTTTGTCTTGTTCTCGCAACACAATCTCCTTCCCGAAGAGCTAGACAAGCAGATTGATCGTATACTGCATTACTAATATTCCATGTTCCTCATTATCCCACAACTGAAGTGCCATAGTCACCACTGGGGAAAACAGTAAAAAGTCAAAACCCAGCAGGTCTGGACTTCGTTGTGAAGAATACGAAAGACTCACAAGTAGAGCAGCACCTGTGGTTTGGGAGCATCCCATCCATCTTTTCTGCACAGGGGGAATTGTGAGTGTGAGTGTGAGGGGAGGAAAAAGAGGGAGGACGTGGTGGAGTCTATGAGTAATAGGAGAGACAAAGTAAGCATATGTGACCCATTGACATTGAGCAGGGCCGGTTTCAACTGGCCAATGGTCTGATTCTGTGGACCACAGAAGGTCTCGGGGATGATGGCTTATGTATCAAAAACACACACGATTTACTACAATAGCAAGTCACAAATAAGCCCATCAGGAAAGTTAGGAGTGTGGCTCATTAGCAATTGTGAAGCGTTTTTGCAGAGAAAACAATGATGCATATAAGAAAGGAAACGGATAAGGAACGCTTTCCTTTATCCCCAGCACACAGGATCTTCATACCACTGCTCGGTGTAAAAATAAATGTAATAGAACTTGGACCTCCACAATTCCAGCCCAAACAGGGAGCCCCTTATCAGCCGCCATCTCTCCCACAGCTAATATTTCACTTCAGCTCCCGGGCCCACAGAATGAGAGACGTTTCCATTTCATGTCAGTCATTTCCAGGCCTGTGTGTTACCTGTGTGGTGATAAGTGTTTGACTGACTGGGAGTGTCGTTAGTCACTGTCCGGCTCCGACTGACAGCCACAGATTGACGCTGAAGATGAGAGGAAGAGGAGAGGCACGGTGTGTTCAGGGACAGCAGAAAACCATGGCTGGTGTAGGGAGAGGAGTCACATCTACACATGTATATGAATATATAACAAACGCAAAGCCGTATACACACACGCGCACACACACACACCAACACACACACACTTCAAGTTGGATTTAAAGAGAATGCATTCTGTCTTTGTAATGACACAATCAAGAGACATGAGGGATAACATGCCTTCCTAATTTGCAAAACTTATTACAATTTATTTCTATTACCATCTACTGTATCTTTAATCTTAAAAGGTGAAGAATTCCCATTCTCTTACATTTGCAATAAGTCACTGCTTAATAGTATGATGATTTAACACTTGTTGGAACAATTTCCTTGAATGTTTCCAGTAAAAAAAACAATGCAATTTGTTATTAAATATAGGGAGAAGAAAGACAAAAGTTTTAGGGGTTAGTAAATTGGTTGAGTTATTTCAGCAGTTGTTGATTTCCAAGGGATTTTTATGTTTTTTAATGAACCAATGCTCAATTTTAATCCCAGTAAATATGAATTAATTATTGGAAACCTTATAGTTCCCTTGAATTTAATTCTCTTGTTGTTTGTAGAAAGTTACATTTTCTAATGTTCAGCTGACGCACTGAAGTCAAGACTCTTTAGGTTACACTAACATGTAATTTGAGTTGCAATTAAACACTAGTTTCCCCAATAATTCATACTAAATTACGCTGAACTGTCCTTTAAATTTACAGTTAAATATCAGTTTAATTCTATAAAATGCTTTAAAATACAACCAAAATACTTGACCCACTAATTAAAATGCTACTGCAATGGTTTCATGGCAATTACTTCCAAAACTGGGCAAAACACTGGGGGATCTTTTCCCCTTGTTTACATCACAACTTTTACATAATTTTTCATAAATCATCAGCAGATAACAATGTTAATACAAGGCTTAATCCCAATAATCACGACCTCATAACATGTGTAGAGAAGCATGCAAACCACAGCTACTGTGCCTCCAAGACATTTGAAAGCTCGTGGTGCTAAATAACACAATACAGTCCAATTCATACTATCTGTTAGCTTCTACCGTGTAGCTGGTCCTGAGAAAAGATGGCCTCCACCGTGCTAAAGGTGTAACTGATGCAATCAGCAGTGTTCAGTGCCAACACCTGGGCAATGGACTTTACCAAGCGCCTGCCACAGCAACAGGGGTTCATTTTGCAAGTTTAGTGTCAGTTATTTTGTGTGTTTGTTTGCATGGT